TCCTTTTTATTGATTTCTATTATTGTATATAATAATAGAAATATCTTCAGTCAGATATTCACAAATTTATTCTACTATTCTGTGTTGCAATATTTAATTCCTTTTAAAAGGATATATACAATAATCCCATTGTTTTTAGAGTTATCTTTACTTATAATTAGCAATTATTAAATACTCCAATGTTTTAGTTAATTATTTTTAGTAAACTTTCTCTATTCAAATTGCTATGGGTAAACCTATAAACATGAAATTTATGGATTATTTTGGCCATGTTCTTGGGCTTGAAAAAAGTGCTTAACAGCCCACCAATGGGAAATAACATGGTAGTGACTTGTGGTACACACTGGTATCATAATTTGTTGCCTGGGGCTAATTACGATGAAGGGGCAAATGTAGCATATGTCTTGAGGTTAAGAAGGTATTGCAAGTAGTATTAAGACAGTCATAGTGGCTACAAGGACTGTGATCAGGGAAGGACTGATTTGAGGCCATGTTCTTGCTTACAAAAAGAAAATGGTAAATTCAAGTCCCAGTATGAGAAACAGAACGTTCCATGATAACCCTAAAAGAAGTTCTGATTCTTTATCTCCAGGGATCATACAGCTAAAAATCAAAATATCAATGTCTTGTGGGATTTGACAATGTGAATTCAACAATGTGAGTTGAATGCATATCACAATGTTTCTCATGTAAAAGTTAGGACATTGGTTGATGAAGTGAAATTTAGAACCTTAGAATGGGGACATCTGGTTGGATACAGAAGAAAATGACAGTCGGGAAACCTTAAGTGACTGAGTCTCTCTTATCAGGTGTCTAGAAAGACTACCCTTCCTCTTCGGATATCACCTGGGGCAGTCCCCTGCAAAAAAATCCCAATTCTTCACAAGACTCACCAAAACAACCTATAACTAGTACTCATCTCAGCATGATCCAGGGAAATAGTGGGCACATCACAACAATTGTGATACTTTTTTAGTGTGAGAAGTACATCCCTATGTGTATTAATGACATTTTTAAGTCTTCTGTATTTTATAATGGTGACATCTTGGAAGCCTACAGACCTGGAAGGAACTGCCCCACCAAGAGCTAGCTAATTCTAAAAGATAATAAACAACCTGCCCAACAACCTGTCTTTCTTTCATATGCAGACCAACCAATCCATAGCCATAACCCATACACTTCCTGTATCTGACTCTCACACAACAAGCCAGTATTTCCCCTAAACCACCCAGGGCTAAGTACCAGAATACTAGTGACCACCCCTATTCCCAAAGCTTGGCAGAATTATTCATAATCGACAATCCTATATGGTGTAAACTACCTTGACTTGCCTTTCTCAAGAAAACCACAAGAAACACTTGTGCCCATATTCTCCTCACTCCTTTTTGCCCTCTGACCAACATTGTTGCTTTGCCATGTGTCCATGTGTGGCACAGCGTGTCTCTGCTCTTGGGAACTGTAAGTAATGAAAGCTTCTTACAGACACATTAAACACTCCATGTCACCATGCAATCACCTTTGCAAATTAAAACCCCAAGGGTATAATCAAGATACTTGATGTAGGGAGCAGGGAGACTGATGATATTCTGCTGAAGAGCATACCTTCCTGATTTCTCTTGGCTGCCTAACTGGATTCCTTAAACAGCCAACCATGCCTGAAAAGGCACAGCTGGTTCTTGACCCAATTTCTCTTTGGCTGCCATTTCTTTATGCTGTGGATGTGTATGCCGTCACGGTACTCTAACTTCATTTATAAGATTATCTCAAAGAAGGGTGGGGAGGACTTGAGCTTCCTTCAGTCCTCCATCATGTCTCTCAATGTCCACAAAGTGACAGTAATTCCTGGGTGGCGCTCACTCTTGAGGCACTGATGGGACGGAGCACCCTGCAGTGATATTAACAGGAAGGCTAGCAGGGTTTAAACACAAAGCACTCTGTGTAACAGTGAGGACGAGCGATGTGGTGGGGTGACAGTGATGACCCTGTCTGGGATGCCAGGGCGATGGTGCTGCCTTCCATGACAGGAGGGCAGGAGCTTGCAGAGAAGGTGAAGCACGTATGGGGGAGGGGCCCTGGGGCCCCTGGTGATGTCAGAGTGTTGTTACTAGATGGTCCCACCTCACAGGAAAGGAAGCTGGGGGTCTGGCTGGAGTCTGCTGTTTCCCTCAGGGAGAGGATGCAAGGGACCAAGATGAGCTGGCCCAGAGTTTGTTTGCTAAATTTTCCCAGCTCACATACTTGCCAGCTGGGCACCCTCTCTGAGCTGTGGCTCCCTCCTTTGAGTAGACGTAATAAATAATGCCTCTGCTGGATAATTTCGGATGTGTTAAATGAGAAAGTCCTCCGGAGAGCTCCTTAATGTTAGCTCTTCATAGAAAGATGCCTGGGAGCTGTCATGGGCTGAACTGCGCGCCATTAATCCATAGGCTGAGATCCTCACCCCAGTGCCTCAGATGAGACAGTATCTGGAAACAGTCATTTAAAGCTAAAATAATAGGTTGGACTGGTGTCCTTACAAGAATAGATTAGGGCCCAGCCACACACAGAGAGCTGCCCATGTGAGGACAGAGAAGGAGGCCATCTGCAAGGCAAGGAGAGAGGCCTCAGGAGAAAGCAGCCCTGCTGACACCTTGACCAGATATCTAGTGTCCTTGTGAGGCAGTCAGTCTCTTGTTTAAGCAGCCCAGTGCGAAGCACTTGGTTACCGCAGCCTGAGCAGACTAATATAGGGTCCATTGTCATCTGGGAAAAAGGCCTGGAGGCCACCCTGAAGATGTAGGAGCCAGGAAGATAATTTTTCGTCGTGCAACTTTGCTAGAAAAGAGGGCCAGGCTTCATGAGACACAGGGCTGTGGGCTTGGAATAATGTCTGGATCCCATCCCTCACTGGGGGTTGCTAGAGACTCCCCCCTCCAATTCAAACCCCATGTCCACTTTTCCATAGTGAGCAGAACTCCCTGAGAGGCTGCTGGAGGATATAAACACCTCAAGTGCCTAGAAGTTGGCTCGTCTTCAGTCCTGATATTGCTGTAAGGGGAATTGGTGATAGGCAGTGGTGCATTTGGGGAGGGACTACCCAAGGAGAAAGTTGGGGTATTTATACCTAAGGCTCCTAGTGGGGTCAGGCATGTTGGCAGGGTTCCCACCTCCCTCTTCCTGAAGCTGTGGTCCCCCCACCTGGCAGGTACAAATAGTTACCACATGGTCGAGCCATCCAACCACCACCATGGGACCTTGAGTAAAAAATGGCCATCCATCCAGAGCCCTTTAAACACCTAATAAAACTTATCCAGCTTCTACCCTCCTTAGGATTTGAATATTTTCAGGCTGACTTAAAGCATTTCTTTCCTGATAATCTATAGTCTTTAGTTGCTGGGAAAAAATTTTGTTTTTTTAGATTTTATTTCTTTTTAAAGAGAGGGGGAGGGAGAAAGAGGAAGAGAAACTTCAATGTGTGGTTGATGCTCACCTGCCCCCAACTGGGGACCTGGCCTGCAACCTATTTGTGCCCTGATTGGGAATTGAACCGGGAACCCTTTGGTTCACAGGCAGGCAGTCAATCCACTAAGCCACACCAGCCAGGGCAATTTACTTCTATTATTTATTTTTTAAATTTTAATTTTACAGAGGGGAAGAGACAGAAACATCAATGGGTTGCCTCTCATGCGAGCCCTGACCTAGGACAGAATCCTCAACAGTCATATGCACTGAATGAGAACCCAATTGGTGGACTTCGGCTTTGCAGGACACCCAATGAAATAAGCCACAACTGTGAAAGCTGAAAAAGTGAATTTTGTTTCCAACTGTGAATGACCCCAATGTTTTATATGAAGTGTCACCCAACTTATGGGGAATACTATAAAGTAACTCTCTACGGTGGTACCTCTCACTCAAAAACTACACTATTACCCACAACCTTCTATAGAAGATGAAGAGGGGAAAAAAAAAAGCATTCTATTCAAAAAATCTATTTTTAGAGAGGGGAAGGGAGAAACATTGATTTGCCTCTCACTCATCCCCAACTGGTGACCTGTCCCACAATCCAGGCATGTGTCTGGACTGGGAATCAAACTGGCCACTTTTTGGTTTGCAGGCTGGTACTCAATCCATGGAGTCACAGCAGCTAGGGCCTGTGTTCTTAAAATCAGCAAAGTTCAGAAAGCCTTTAGCTCCCTTGGGAAAATGTATTATTTCAGTAGCCCGTACGGCCACGTAGTCCACTCACTGAAGGACAAAGCAGCTATCCCTATTGAAGTACTGACGGGAAGACCCACATGTCCAGTACTTTCACTTCTCATACCAGACTCTGCCCTATTATTTGCAGACATGGCAAAATAGTACAAGACACACATGCTATACTCAGTCCCTATCACCAAGTTGTTAATGCCAGATTTTGATTCTAAAAAGTTAATATGAAAAAATAAATGGCCATCCTTCAAAATGAAGAAAAAAGGGTTGAAATACAGTTAAGAGAACAGGAAGTAGAAACATCAATGTGCCAAAAAATATTGACTTCTGATAAGGTGCTTTATCAGTCCACAACAGCAACACCCAACAACTAAGCTTCTACAAATACAAAGTTCATCCTCTCTAGTGGAAAGTAAATTAACAAGTATATTGTTTACTTTTATTCTGTGTGATGAATAACTTTTTTCTTCATTAAGTTCTGTTTCTCAACATTAGCTCATATTATGCCTTTGTGTGGGTGTGATTTCAATCTTTTTTCATCGTAAGGGATAATTGACAAACCTTTCCCATATTTATATTGTATGTTATAATTTGATAAGCAAATACATTGTGAAAAGCAGCTCAGGGCTTCTGATTGTCAGGGAGGGGTTCCTTCTTTTTAAAAAAAAGTTTTAGTTTTATAAAATCTAGGAGATAAATTGGAATTTGTGACAGGCTAAGAAGGGTCCATTGTATAAAGGCCACTTCTCCCTTTCCTATTCCCTCTACCTAAAATGAATTTAGAAAAAAATTTGTTCACATTTACTTTACTTTTATGGCTTTTCTCTACTATGAACTTTGTGGTGTTGGGAAAGGCTAGCATGTTGTGTAAAACACTTCCCACATTCCCTACACTCATAAGGCCTCTCACCAGTGTGACCTCTGCGGTGATCAATGAGCGTACTGCTTTGTGTGAAAAATTTCCCACAATCATGACACTCAAAAGGCTTTTCTCCAGTGTGAATTCTCTTATGTAGAACAAGGGCAGATTTTTGGTTGAAGGACTTCAAACAATCACTACACTCAAAGGGCTTTTCTCCAGTATGAATTCTCTGGTGTTGAATGAGTGCAGATTTTTGTTTGAAGGCCTTCCCACAAATACTACATTCAAAGGGTCTTTCTCCAGTGTGAACTCTCTGGTGTTGAAGGAGGCCAGAGGTTTGCCTGAAGAACTTCCCACAATTGTTACACTCATAGGGCTTTTCTCCAGTGTGGATTCTCTTATGCTTAAACAATTTACATTTGTGGATAAAACATTTCCCACATTCATCACACTCATATTTTTCTACAGAATGAACTCGACGATGTTCAATCAAATACTGGTGATGATTAAAGGATTTCCCACATTCACTACACTCATAAGGAATCTCTCTGGTGTGAATTCTGCCATGTCTCTGGAGGTGATATTTGCGACTAAAAGACTTCCCACATTCACTACACTCAAAAGGCCTCTCACCAGTGTGACCTCTACGGTGATCAATGAGTTTAGCCTTTTGTCTGAAAAATTTCCCACATTCACTACACTCATAAGGTTTTTCACCAGAGTGAATTCTCTGATGTTGAACAAGGGTAAATTTGTAGTGAAAGCATTTCCCACAGACAGTGCACTCATGTTGCTTTTCTCCACTGTGAATTCTCTGGTGTTGACTAAGGCTAGAACTATGTCTGAAGGACTTCCCACAATCACTACAAACAAGCAACTTTTCTCCAGGGTGAACTCTCCTATGGGGAACAAGGTTCAAAATTTGTGAGAAAGCCTTTCCACATTCAGCACCCTTAGAAACCTCTTTTCCAGAGCAGACACTCTGATGTTGAACAAGTTCCTCAGTGTGGCCAGAATCTTCTTCACATTCATCATGAAGGGCCTGCCCATCAGGTTGTTCCTGTCTGTTAGGAGTGGCCTGGTGTGGGAGAAAGCTTGAGATGGCTGGAAATTCCTCAACAACCTCCCTACTGGTGAAACGTGCCCTTGATACATAAAAGGTGCACCTGGTCACAAAGGAAGCCTTGTCCATATCTCCTTTCCAGGGCTTCTCTCCAATGGCAGGCCTCTGTTGGTGAGGGTTTGCACTGAAACCGAATCTTCCCAAATAGGCGTCACTGAAGAACACTTTCTGCCCAAGGTACGCTGCTTGGAACTTGGTCAGGTATAAAACAGCTCTCAAGACTGAAACACACTGCTCACAGGGATGGGTCTTCTGTGTTGCTGGAGCTGTCTTAGAAACCCCGACCTGTGACTCTTCTTGTACAGATACACTCTGCTCAGCATAAAGTTCTTCATCTTCCTTTTTATGCCAACAACCTAAAAGCAGAGAAATGCTGGAAAAATGCATGTTCATTTTGCAGGGAGGGGCAAGTCCCAATACAGAAGTGTGTTATACACAATATGATGGTTTCATGACATTGTCTAAAAGGGAGAGACCTAAGGGCATATTGAATAAAATGCTGCTTTGCAGTACTGGGCCTTTGGGAATCCCAAAATATAAAAGACCTCACCAGAAAAAGGACACAGAGGTGGCAAGCACCACTTGGAAAAGAAACAAGATGTCAAAGGGATCTTCTGCTAACAGCGTTCATCATGGCTTTTGTCTGTAGGTGACATGGGCAAGCTAATCAGGAGCTTGATTATGTCCTTTTCTGTGTAAAATTCAATAAATGAGTAGGTGGCGCTTGAAGACTAATTAAGAATGTATATATGCCTCATAACCCACGCATATGTCAGTGCTGGAGAATACTGCCGAAGGAGCCGTGAAGAAGAACTGGTGATGCACAGAGGGCACATACGTGTACATAGTGAGGAGTAACAGTGAGGAGTTACTTTCCCAAACATGAAGTAACAGATCAAATGATAAGTCAGCAAAGTGTCAAGTATGGGGGAAAAAAAAGGTAGAAATGAGGTGTGGCCAGCAGCACTTGCACAAAAACAATAATGGACACAGGTTGGGCTCTGGTACAATCTGAATACAGCCCATTGTAATGACCTACCACAGTTGCCCCCACAAGGGTCAGGCCTCCAAGACACACAATCCTGTCAAGACCACCCTGTGACAGAACCAGGTTTCACCCTGCACCCTCTATTGTGGTATTCAGAATCTCAATGATTCTAGTACTAATAAAAGACAACAGAGGCGCTCAGCAAGCATTGGCCCAGAGCAACTTGGCATAAAGTAGTATTCAGGGAAGGCAATATTAAAAACCAAAAAAATCCTTCAAGGAGCGTCTCACAAGAAAAGCCCAGGTTAATGTAAGTAATGACCATGACCTGGTACAGGGAGTCACCAAAAATAAATAAGTAAGTAAGTAAGTAAGTGTTAGCTAGAGAAAAAAAGGCAGCCTTGGAGGTCATGGATCTGGACATAGTGATCCAGCAAGAAATAGGGCAACTAAGTTGTGATCCATTAAGCTGTTTGCAAGACTTCCAACACCCAGGCACTTCCCTGCACATTTTCAGTCAACATCTGCTAGAACTACTCAGGGAGTTCATGGGTCAGGGCATTCCACACAGATCAGCACTGGCAGCCACAGCACAGGGGTCAAGAAAGTAGGGGAAATCAGCAAAGCCCACGGTCTGGCTGTGGGAAAGACAGCGCTACCTCTGGAGAAAACAGGGAAGGCAGGACATCACCTCAGGACAAAGTGGCAGGTGTGAAAGTCTTACCCACAGAGGCTACAAGGGCAAAGATCTCCAGCATCACATGGCGGTGCAGAAGTCTCTGAGCCTCATCAAGGAGCCCCCACTCCTCCTGGGAGAAGGCAATGACCACGTCCGCAAAGTTCATATCCTATCAGAATGGGGACAGTTTATTCCATGATCAGCTTCTCTCCTCGAATTTCAAGTCTGTCCTACACCTCAACCCTCCACATCCATCTGCTCCCTCGATTTCCCACATCAAAGCAGATGCCAGGCCTTGGTGCCATTTAGGTCATTCTCTTCTTATATTCCCACTGATACTGTGTCTTCCCACAACATGCTGATGGGCGGATAGACGATACCTGAGCTCTGAGCCTGGCATGCAGGTCACGCTGCCTCTTGTCAATACAGTGAGCGTTACAAAGTTAGTTTACAGATAGAAGTTGGTTGTAAAGATCATGTGAGTAATTTGAAATGGGTCTTGCTAGGCAATACTGCTGTGGTCTCCCAGATTGTCCCTCCAAGACATGAAAAACAGGGCATCCCCTTCAACCTTTGGGCCCCACCCCAGGGTCCTCAGTCTATCACTTTAACCTCTGTACATAAATTCTGGAATTGCACTTCTCTCACACAGCTATCTTCTCAGAGTCACTTGAAAGGTAGCACAGCCCTGCTACTGCCAGGACAGGGACTGTTCCCTGGTTACCTTATTTACCAGGATTCTAATTTCACCAGCACCCTACTCTATCTCCTGCTTACTTTTCTCCCTTCCCTGTGCTAATGGAGGTTTTCAACCCCAGGTGGCAACTGACGGCCACTCTCTCATCAGGGTCCTATTGATCACTGTATCAGCCCTCAACAACAGTAGGCACGTGGGCAGACAAATAAAATCTCTAATCTACGGATCTGGCATGTAGAATCACAACACACCTTTTTTCAGGCAATTCCTATGGGGTTACCCATGGCATTCTTCCAGAACCCACCTGACAGGGGCTCAGCTTCTTTCCCTCTTACCTCAAGGCCAGGGCCCTCTGGCCATGAATTCACAGTCCCCCTCCAATTGTACCTCAGTCTTCCTATCATACTTCTCTCTTACAGTGCACCCCCCCCAGCCCCAGCCTCCTCCTGCCCTGTACCCTAGTCATCGCCTTAGTCTCTCGACTCATTACTCAGCATATGTGGTCCAGAGAATATATGGAAAATTCAGACAGGATCAAGTACTACCTGACTCTGATGGTCCCCACAGACAGGGGCTGCCTTGAGTCCTACTGTGAAGGCCTCTCTCCCTGACGGTTCCTTGTTTCAACTTCACCTGCAGAGAACGACATCAGATCTCACATGTGCACAGCCCTCCTCCACGGGTGCTGCACCGGATGTCTGTCCGCCAGTCTCGGCCCTCCCCTGTCCACCTCCCACTCAGTGAAGGACCAGCCCCAGTGGCCCTCCATCCCATGCCCAGTTAGTCTCACAGATGATTACTTATGCCGCTACACTAATCTGTCAGCCTGACTGGGATACCCCAGCTTTCATGAAGGGTCACAACAAAGTCCTGGTGAGTCTTTAGAAGCAGTGAACATGCACCAGCCCCAGTCTCCTCTTGTGCGAATTACTCTCAAGTTTACAATCCATCTCACATCCACCGATGCCTTGAAGGCCCTGGCCACTTGTCAAATCATGTTCTCTGCTCCTCCCGCCACATGATCACTTCTGTCCGTATACGCTGTTGTGACACCCACTTCCCACAGCCAGGTTCCCCAGCAGGAAACCCAGTCCTCAGCCCTACACTGTCTTCCTGGGCTACTACTACCAGTATCACCCTGACCAGGATTCCCCATATCACAGTGACCTACAGCTCTTCCCTGGCCCATAGACTCTCCACTACCTTTCAGAGAAGTTTTTATCCTGAACTCTTCCTCAGAGTTCCAGACACCTATGAATTGTTTTCTGAAACATCTCACACCATGAACAGGTCAAAAATAAAATTCCTGATACCCCCAATGAAAATCACTTTTTCTACTGTGGTTTCCCCCTTCTCAGTTGAAAATGCTTCTGTAACGCCTGTTGCTAACACCAGACCATTGAGTCATTCCTGACTCTTACCTCTCTCTAACGTCAAAATTAGAAAAATTCGGCAGCCACACATAAAAGCCCCACCCAGAATCCAACTACTTCATCCACCTCAACGGCCATTTTCCTGGTCCTTCACACTCACCCAAATCATATAATCAGCCCTCTCTCTGACCTTTCAATCATTTCTATCACACCCATACTGTTCTACATCCCTACTGCCGCAGGGACTCCAATGAGACCTAGGTGAGATCACCTGACTGTACTGCTCCTAACATCCCATTGCTCCCATCGCCTACAGACAGACACCCAATTTGAATCCAAGTTGCTCTAGACATGACTCCTGTCCCATTGGTCCCAGGCACATAAGAAAGAAAGGATACCTGTTGGTTTCTGAATCAACATATCCTCTCCTCCAAGCCTTTGCACATTCTGATAACTATGCCTGGGAGGACCAGTCACATCTCATTCCACTGGATGCCAAAAACAGGAACCACTTCACATAACTCTAAACCTGGACCTAGAACTCTGGGCTTGGTGTCTGGTCGAGGTCCCCAGGACCAAAGGCTGAGAGTGTGCCACCAAAGACCCCGGACACCTGAGTCTCAAAGACCGTTAGAATGGGAAGCCCTGAAACAAGCACTGCAAGCCAGTACCCTAAGTGATTCTTGAGTTGGGGCAATCTGTGGAAAGAGAAAGGTCTTCTGAGAGCCTGGCTGCCGCCACCACCAGGATCCACAGGTTCAGCTTGCTAAGTGCTCCGAGGTGACTGCATCACCTCAGGACCTCAGTCCTCAGTATAGACTCTGGGTGTCTAGTCATCATTTATAGGATTCACCTTCCTGTCCCTAACTGCTATCACCTCGTCTAGTCTCTTCTTACTCATGATGGGGGAATTCAAGAGTTGTAAATTTTTAATTTTAAGTAATAATTAATGAGCTTAGAGTAAATAATGCCCGTAAAAAGCTACTGTTTCAGGAATGAAGGTATGACTCACCCTGACTCCAGGAGACCACAAGCAATTCCACCTTTGAGCCCCAGGAGGACTGCAAGCAATCAAGATGGCGCCTGAGCCATTGTGCTCCAGGAAGAGAAATCCATTGATGAGGACACAGATAAAGACAATAATCCAGGACACGGTAAAGACCACTCCACAGAATGCAGATAAAGAGTCACTGCTCAATAGATAAAACAACTCTACAGCTTTTACCTCATTTACCTTTTGCCTGAATCCCAAAATCCTTTCCTTATTAAAAGGGTCGGTTGGAAACAGAATGAAAGACCGTCTTTTGGGAGGCGCAAGGCGCAGTCTTCTCAGATCACCTGCGATCCGAAAAAAGCACATATAGAGAGTCAATCCCTTTCTCTGCTTATTGGGTCTGGTGGTGACTTGGCAGCACCAACACCAGCTTTTCCAGTTCCACTCTGAGCGGTCCTTGGAAAACGTCGCAACCCCATCTATCAAGGTGCCTCTTCTCTTCACGACCTTCCATGGCCTCCACGTGGTCTCCTCACGCGCAACTTCGCCAAAGTTCCTTTCTAGCCTTTATACGCAAAACAGGGCCCAGTTTCCCAGAATCCTCCTGGCTCAAGCACCCCTCAGACTGTCAACCTCTCCCACCCGTTACACCCTGTGCCACCCACCGGCGCCTCGCGCTCTGGGACGCCGGAGCCTGGGCTGCCGGGCTCGGTGGGCTGACCGCGGAGGGCCAGGGGGCGCGCACTCACCTCAGCCGGGCGCCTCAGCGCGGCCGCGCCAACTGTTCGGTGGGAGAAGCGAAGCCTGCGGGATCCGAAGGCCCGATCCGGCCGTGAGCAATCGGCAAAGCCTCCGACCAGCCTCTGCGCAGCAGGGGCCCAGTCGTGTGCCGCCACCTCCGTCGAGACGCCGCGATATGGAAGCTCTCACTCAGAAGGGACGGGCGAGGTCAAAATCTCCACCACAGAAAACCGGAAATTCTGCCCTAACTCGACGCCCACGTACTAGTACGCTCTTTTCTGAGCTTTCATTGGCTAGGCTTCGCCACCTCTGTGCTTATTGGCCTCTGGGTAATGCATTTTTTTTCAGCTGCGTAAGAGGCCTTAGCTGCCCTTCACTGACCTTGAGGGTTCTGTAAAGATGTAGCGACACTGGGAGTGGTTCTGGGGAGCCACAGCTTAAGGTTTCACCGGCCGGTTTGCAGGTTTCTGGGGAGTGTTGTCTGCAACCGATCAGTTGTTTAGAGACATTTCAGACCCTCTGAAGCTCAGAATGCTACAGGAGGCAAAAAATATTATTTCAAATCCAATTTGACTATATTCTCATTGAAACACAAAATGCATCCATTCTTACCTGGAATGTGTTAACTATTTTCTGCCTATTCAAATGCATGGAGTCAGAATTCTTAGTGGATTTTGTTACTGGCTCACTTGGCAGTGGCTTGGACTGTGTCATCGTAAGTAGAATGGCAGGATTCCAAAGAGAAGCTGTAACAGGGCACAGCCAGCCCCCCCCCCAAAGTGTATTTGTAACGGGGTCCAGAGATTGGGGTGTCCAAGAAAAATGTATTCCCCACCCCAGGGCGGGCTGCGATGGGGGTGGGAGCCTTGAGCAGGGCCATTGAGAAGTCAGTTTGCATGTCAATAACAGGATACCTTCGTTCCTCCTTTGCAAAGAGGATTATTTGGTATATCACAAAAGCCAATTATAGCTTCGTTCCTCCTTTGCAAAGAGGATTATTTGGCATATCACCAAAGCTAATCAGGAACATTTAAAAGACTTTATACAGAATGTGAGGGAGAAAGAAAGAGGAGAGACAGGGACCTGCAGGAGAGACAAAGGGACACAGACTCTGGGGAACAGTGTGAAGACCCCGCGTGAAGAAAGAGGGGAGAAAGGACTCTTGCTCGTAGGCCAGGAGAAGGTGCCACATGGTTATGGATTAAGAGCTGGAGATCGCGGCGACGCAGAGAATGGTGCTGAGACCCGCGAGAGGCCTGCCCAGCCGAGCCCCGGACTCCTGTTTTGTTTTTTTCTGAAGGGCAGTGCCCCTGACTGGCCTAACTGGGCAAAGTGGGGGAAGGCAGGATGGTGTGTGTGCT